GAAGAGAGAGAGAGAGAGAGAGAGAGAGAGAGAGAGGCAAAGACACGTTTCAGCAGCGGCGTGCTAACGCCCAGGACGAGGGCCAAAGGGGGAAGGCGGCGAGTCCCGCCACTCGCTCCTGCGAGGTGTTTTGTGAGTTTTGTGTGCAGTTTTCTTTGGCCTTGCGCCCCCCACCCCCTCAGGAGTCGCCGTATTGCCGCCGGAACGCGGCGGCGCTGAATTGGCCTCCCCGCCGCCCCTTGCGCGTGTGCCAGCTGGCGTCGGCGTCGCCGAGCCTCCCCGCCCGCCCGGGACGCGAGTACAACGCGACGTGGGCGGAGGCGTCGAAGTGGCGGCCCCGCCGATGCTCCGCGACGCCGCCGGGGCGCTGCGAGAGCTGCAGCACGCCGCGCAGGCGGTTCAGCGTGGGCGGGCGCTGGCGGACGTCCATCAGGTTCCACCTGCTGCGGCCGCGGAGGAGGCGCTGCATCTGCCTGTGACGAACACACGCACCCGCCCTTGGCCCCGCCTGGTCTGCCCCCTCGCTCGCTATGGTCTGCGCTTGCGTGAGAAGAGAAGGGGGAGGAAGGAGGCGGAGGAGGCCACTTTCCCCCAGCGACGGACGCGGAGGAGACAAGGCGCGCCGCAGCCGCAACAACAAGAAGAAAAACCAAAACAAAAAACAAGGAGCAGAAGAACGGCTGCAGCGGGAAGGGCGGATGACGGGGTGGGTGGAGCTGGCCACCGGAGGGGAAGAAAGGAAGGGTGGTGGGAGGCGACACCCCCTTCAGAGGCCCACGCAGCATACATCTCTCTCACCGCGGCTACAGGCGACGCGCCACGTGACGTGGCGAGAAAATGCCCAAGAGAATGATGCCCATTGGGGGGTCGCAGCGCCGGCAAATTATCGGCTTCGCCAAAACTCCAAAACAGTTCGGTGTTCGTTTTCCAGTCGGTGCAGGCGCGACAGCACCAGCCCGCTGACAGGGACGTAGTCCGAGAGTCCCTCGTCGGCGGCTTGCCGCGCCTGCATTTGCCCCTCAACCACCTCCCGGTCCATCTCGTGAATGGTGTGGAGGTACTTCAGATCGTCCTGCAGCGCCGTGGCGACGCGGTCGTACTTCGCCCGCCGCTCCCGCCAGAGTGCCGCGTCGCCGCGCCGGCGTCGGAGAAAAAGGTACTCCAGCGGCGGCCGCACGTTTTGCTGAGCCACCTCTAACAGCTCCTTGGCGCTCTTTTGCAGCGGCCGCAGTGATTGATCCCACACCCCGCGCACAATGGGGCCCAGCAGCGACTTATGCACAGTGTTCCCCGGCGCAAAACACTCCGCCAGGCAGTGCCGCAGAACCACGAGGTTCGCGGCAATGGCCTCCATGTTCGCCGGACGCACATCCAGGTAGTTGAAGGGAATGGCATTCGCCGTGTAGGAGGATGCCTTCAGCGTCGGCAGGCCGTCCGTTCGACTCTCGCAGCCCCTGGTGGTGCTGCTGGCAGTCGCCGCGGCTTCGGTGCCTTTTGGACGCGCCCCGTAGCCGTCTATCCTGCGCCGCGGCGAAGGGATCCGTGAGACCAGCGTGTTCTTTATGAACGACGCCACGCCGCCGCCGAAGCGGGAGGCGGCGTCGTCGTCGCCGCCGCCGTAGTGCGTCGCCAAAAAGCGGTCCACGTCCGTCTCTATGCGAGTCAAATACCGCTCCGTGCTCTGCTGCTTCGCCGCCTGGTACTTCCCGTAGCGGGTCTCCAGCACCTTCAGGAGGACGTCGACGTCCTGCTCCGTGAGGGTCTCCATGCCGTGCCCGACGAAGGCGAAGGAGGGCTGGGGGCCGCCGCGGGGCGCCTCTCGCGGCGACGCCGACGCCGCCTCCCGCTCGCCGCGGCTATCAGCGCGTGGCAGCGGCGCGGCACCCACCCGCTGAGGCATCACCGCCGCTTCGCCGCCGCCGCTACCACGGCGGCAGTGCGGGGAGGCGGGGGGCGCCTCGTACAGCCCCGCGGTGTGCGCGAACAACGGCACCGGCCGGAGCGCCTCGGCCACGTTTGACGGCAGCGCCACGACGGGGGGAAGCTCCCCCAACATCCCTGCACGCGCCGCCCCCCACGCTTGTGTGCTTCGCGGCCCCGCTGCGGGCGTGCAAAAGTGGGGACGCAAAAAAAAAAAAAACGGAGCGGCCGCGCAGGGGAGAAAAAAGCAGTCGCAGCAGCGGTGAGGAAACAACCAGGAGCCAAGCGGCAACGCCAAGAGGCGCACATATTTCCACCCGCTTCCCCTTTAAAAACGGTGGCGGACACACATATTGCGCAAGGGTTGAAAGGCGGCAACCAAAAGCAAAAAAAAAACCGCAAGAGGCTGCTGCAGCAGGAGAGACACCCTGCAACTATTGCAGCTCAACGATCTCCTGCGCCACCCGCCGCACAATCGCCGGTGCGGCGGCAAAGCGCGGAACCATCCCTAGGCATGCCACGTGCGCCACTGGAAGGCGACTGGTGGTGTACCTCAGCGCGACCAGCCGCCAGTCCAGCGCCTGCCGCAGCGCCGTGGCAATCAGCCGCGGGGAGAGGTGGGCTGCCGGCTGCGCGTCGGCGCCCTCGTGCGTTTGCGGCGCCTCCCCCGCCCCTGCGCCTTCGCACCGCAAATCGCGCAGCGTGTGCGTTGGGGCCACGCCGCCTTGCTCCCCGCGCAACGGCGGCAGCAGCGTCGTCGCGGCGAAAGCACCGTCGCCCGCCGCAAAGGCGGAGGCGCGCGGCGGGGCGTCCGCCCCCCCAGCGGCGTCGCACAACAGGGCGGAGGTCGCAAACCCCACCAGAACGTCCTTCTGGGTGTTCGCAAAGAGCGTGCGCCGCCGAAAGAGACGCAGAGCCGCGAGGTGCGGGTCGTCAATGAGCCGTGTCGACAGCACCGCCGCGGCATCCGTGAGGAGGAGCTCGCGCAGCGACGGGGGCAC